TCATCATCATCATCATCATCATCATCATCATCATCATCATCATCATCATCATCCAGACATAAGGATCCTTATGAACGACTTCAAGATGGCTTAAAGTGTTGCCAACCGTAAAACCCGACCCTAATGTTATACGGTTGGCGAAAAAGGCGAAAAATAACAACAAGTGCTAATTATTGTACTCTATGTGACTACAAAATGTCTAGATTTTCCTTTGATGTTAAATGTTATTATGATTTTAAAATATCATTCGGTTTAGAAACTTTTATGTTATAATAATTTATAGTTAGGTTTATTAGTGTAATGATGAGAATAATGATGAAATTTTCACTTTTATTTGATTGCAATGGTTTTATAATAGTTGTCATAATTATTATTGTTATTTTTATTATTATTAATTTTGTTGTTATTATCATTATTATAAGAATTATTATTATTACTACTACTAGTACTATTATTATTATTATAATTAGTTATAAGAGAAGAAGAAAAAGACGCAGTCACTTAAGAATGTCATGGTCTCTCGCTCCCTCAGTTGACGGCGGCTGGGGTACCTGGAGCGCTTATGGCGCCTGCAGCGTCACGTGCGGGACTGGCATAAAAACTAGGTCAAGGTTATGTGACCGCCCTGCGCCTGCCCACCTGGGAGCAGACTGCCCAGGGATAAACGCGGAGGACGACAACTGTACCTTGTCTCCGTGCCCAAGTGAGTGCTATGGGATGTGGGGGAGACATTGTGAACTTTAGAATACGAGAAATAGGAGAATTATTATGCACTTTACAATAAAACCGACACGAAAAATAATTATGCACTTGAGAATAACAGTGACATGGAGAATTATTATGCACTAGAGAATACGGATTGTAGGTCTATATATCTCATTTTTCGGTAAAATTGAGTTATCACTGATCTAGAATACAGTCATACGCCATGAAAAAATCCCCAAAAATAAACAACAGGTCTAACCGCGGGGTAGTTATTTTGAATGATTATCTCATTGTTGGAAACCAAATGTTAAATTATTGTTCATTCTTTTTTCCTATAGAAGACAATACTTTTTTAACCATTCAAAGAGGAGTTACACCACTTGTTTTATAAAGGGAGATAGTATATACTTTTCTGTGCTATGTCTACCTTCAAATCTCATTCATGTAAAGAGCAGTATTTTAAAGCCTTTTTGTGTCAAAGTTTGATCTGTACAGGGTGAAATGATTCTTTTTTTTTCTTTTGTACAATTCATAACTGTGAGTTTGAAGCTTCGTATCAGTGCTTTGGACTGGACGCTTTAACATTGATAGATACGTTGTGTTCTTTTCTTAGCCTGAACAACTATTGATCTAAAAGGCGACATGTCAATCTGAAAAGGCTGCCTATTGCTCTAATTAAAAAAGAAACAAACAAACCGGCCTTCCCAAAAAATCTTCTTTTTTCACAAAACAAATGATTTTTACACGACATGTATTCAACGGGGAACGCAAGGGCGGGGGGGGGGGGGGATAATTACATCAGTTGGGCCCCTTTCTGACTAAAACCCAACCGAACAGCCACACTGACAGGGGCGAAGGCTGACTTATTTGACAGGGTAATCAAAGTGAAATGGGACCAGATAGGGCCTGGGGATATCACACTCACACAAGTCACAAGAATCTTACTGGCACTGGAGGCGGCAACTCTGAGTTGTGAATGAAAACAAATCCTGAATTCATGTTGTATGCTTGTTCAACCGCTAAAATAATCGGGAAAGTATTTCATTAAATATTTATTCTAACTAACCTTAAGTTTAACTTTAGATTTGACCACACGAACACCAAGGAAAGAAGCACAGATGTCAGCACTACAATGGCATGTTATACCAGACAGCCGAAACACTTTGGTAGAGCACGCCAACTATCAATTTTTTTATTTCACATTTGGCTGTTTTTTGTCTAGCTTTTCGCGGCCAGGAGCCGCTGTCATAATCGAGGTCACGATCTGATTATAGGACGTTAAAAAGTCGAGGAAAAAAACAAGCACTAGCAGTGTAGTAGCAGGAGTCAAAGGATTATTAGGAGTTAGTTCCCCTCACATCTGTGAGGTAGACTCGACCAGTGTAATAGTTCGCTTAGATAATCAGCGCGTCTGGGTGCTTGTAAAGTGGCCCGATAGGGGCGAACAGGCTATTTCTGTGGCAATGAAACGGTTTTGAAGGTTAGGCATAGTCTATTGTTCATTGGTGATTATGAACACCCTTTTTACATTTAACTTATGAGGTTTACGTCTATGGGTGAATTTGACTGCGACAATGTTTCAAAATTAGGAAGGGAAGCAGTGATTATTTGATTATATAGACGCTTCGCCTCTGAACACTGATTAATTTCGCAGTAATTATCTACAAAGAACAGGCTCATAAAAATCACAGAAATCTAATTTCTACTTTTTCTTGGATTGTTCCGCTTTGATTTTAGTAGGCATTGACTCTCTATTATGAAGACATTGTAAGGAAAAGAACCCTCCCCACAAAAAATGGCAGAAGTGTAAAAGTATAGTAATTTCCAAAACAAAAACAAGAAAAAAAAATAATAAAGGAATGTAGAGAAGTCTTCACGATCAAAAATAAAATGTTTTCTGTTTCTGTAAGAAGTAGGCATCTGTGTGGTTCTTCCCCTTTAGTCTTCACCAAAAAACCCCCAACTAAAACTAAACTATGATTCTCTTTCCAGTTGACGGCGGTTGGGGGACTTGGTCTGCCTGGAGCGCTTGCTCCGTCACTTGTGAGGGTACTGGAGACATGGAGAGGGACCGAGCCTGTGACAGGTGTGTACGACTACAGGCAGAAAAACTGTCTACGACGGTCGCCCATTGTCAAGGAGAAAATAGTCGTCTTAAAGAGGGTGTTGTCTTACAAAGTGTTATTTTGTATTTAAAAAACGAGAATAGTAGTAATGATAATAATAATAATAATAATAATAATAATAATAATAATAATAATAATAATAATAATAATAATATAATAATAATAATAATAGTAATAATACTAATAATAATACTAATAATAATAATAGTAATAACAATAATTCGCCGTCAATGTCTAACGATAATCGCTGAATCTGCAGTTGGAGAATATTTTTTCTTAAACAGATTAAGTAGTATAAATACGGATTAAGATGATTTGTACCTTCTGCTAAATCTATGGTCAAAGGGACCAATTCTAAAAGAGAAAATTTCGCCATATATTGAGCAGTTAAAACCTTATTTTCTGTTTGTTGAAATTGCCATGTTTTCGGTCTTCTCTCTTTACTTGCGTATTTCTACACATCTAAACTACTGAACCAAACTGTCGTGTTCGTTCCAGGCCGGCCGCTCAATATGGTGGAGCGGACTGTGCTGGGTCGAATGTGGAGGTCTCTTCTTGTGACATGACCGGATACCGATGCTCCAGTGAGTAAATGTTTGTAGAATGGACATATTGCTACCTCTGAATTACAAAGTTCTATCTGCTCAGTACCTAGTTTGGAGATAATTTACGTCAAAGATTTTGAGTTTCACAGCACAATATCAAGCTTTTTCGAAAACAATTCTCTGATTGTCTTGATAAAAACTTCGAATAATCTATGATTTTTACAGCAATTAGAACATTTTGTTTATGACCTCCTATAGTCTTAGAAGCTCAAAACAGTCAAAAATATCAGGCAGAACGTTGTAATTCTGAGGTTATTTCGAAGCTGAAGGTTATTTAAGAAATGAAGTGTCTGTTTAAATGACATTCTTAAAAATCTAGTAGTAATGTACGGATTTAATGGTCATTTCGAAGCTGTAAGATTATTTTAATAATGAGGCATCAGTTTCAATACCTTTCTCCCCCCCAAACCCCCCCCCCCCAAAAAAAAAAAAAACAACAACCCCCTGGCCTCAGTATATTATGGTAATGGACCGTTTTTGACTTTGTGGGGATATCAATCAGCTATTATGTAAAAAAAAAACGCCCCCCCCCCCCCCCCAAGGCTTTCCTGGGAAAAGACAGAAAACCCCAAAAAAACCCCCAACGGTGGGGAGAAATTGGGGATTAGCGGGGGCCTGGGGCCCCCGTCCCCCAAAAACCACCCCAAAGGGGACGGGGGCGGCAGGTCATCCGGGGAAGCTGGGTA